CAGCCGTCATTGTTGTTTGGCGGGTCCGGGCTGGGGATTCGAACCCGCCACCTTAGGTGTACATGGCTGGCGCCTTAGCCGGTTGAGCTATAGGAGCCGAGCCTGGAGAAGCCATTTTCAAACAAGACAGAAGAAGATGGTTGAGAAACAACAGAAAAGGGAAGGTTAGGCCACAAGGAATGAGCAGAGACTTCAGGTCAAAAAGACAAAGACACAGAGTCACATGAGGCTGTAGATTCTTTAAAGAGCTGCTTATGAGTACCGAGTATGGAAAGAATTTTTGCTGGACCCTGGTCCTATAAAGGAGACGAAAATCCTTGTCAGTGGAGCCATGTGCTTAGCTAAATCTGTTCCTCAAATAAACATACCTTCATAAATATTAAATTTACTTTCTTAAGAAAAAAATAAACAAATAAATAAATCCTATCCTTTGACACCATGGAGTTTCAGAGTCAGGCAATCCTGGACACAAATCCTTATTCAAAACTGCACTAGTTGTACAACCTTGGGTGACTTATAATACCTTTCAACCCTTGGCTTCCACACCTGTAAAAAATAGTGACAATGCCAACCACACAAGAGGGTCCTGGGGGTTACACTAACATCATTTCTATGTTGGAGTGGCACCTGCCTCGTGGCAGCCTCCAAGATTTCCATTAGCCCCTGTGCACCAGCCTCACGTGGGTCTTTGCCTTTGTTTGCTTCGTGCTTCCACCTCTCCGCTTGCTCCTCCACTCTATGAGGGAAAAGGGAAGTCTCTGTTCTCTCTACATGGAAAGCTGAGAAGTATTTTCCTACTTCAGTGAAATATGATCATACAAAATTTATATTCAACAGCATCAGCAGATTTTTTTCCATCAATATTTCCTTTTTATTTCAGCTTTATCTGAATTTTAATAGCACAAAGAATTTGCTTTTGTCTTTTAAAGAGCAACCAAAATAAGAAAAATATAAATTTGAATAAAAGGTCTTAACACCATATTTTAAATGGTGTTTAGACTATGTGGATAGAGGTCATGGGTATTATGTGGAGAGTAAATATGAATGCCATGGATGTATATGTGTTTGTAATCTTACATACATATGAACTAGCATGTGTACGATATATATAAAAAGTCACGAGACCTAGGTCGACAACCTTGATCCTTTTTCTCTGATTTTCACCACAGCAAACAGTGAATCCCGAATCAATCTTCACCTGAATCTTCATGAAACCTCACGTTTGACCCAAACAACAGAGAAGCAGGTACAGTACTGACTCTACAAGGAGAATGATATGGGGAGGCAAGATATTGGGTTCTTGTCTCAGCTTGCTGTGTGACCTTGGGTGAGACTCCTCTCTGGGTCTCATTTGCATAATTAGTGAAATGATGTAAGTAGACTATAAAATCACAAAGGTTCCTTTACTCTTAGATTTGGAATGTCTTAACCTGTACTGAATTGTCTGGCTCTTTATGTGTGTGAATTAGATGAACAGGCCTTTCCCTGACTTCTGCAAAGTCAGAAAGGGAATACAGAAACACAGAAAGGTATCATGCATTGAGGCAGTAGGCACTAAATGTCATTCCTAATGAAAAGTAGCAATCAAGAAAAAAAATGCTAGTATAAACACAAAGAAAGGAGGACAGTGCTTCACCTGCACAGATTAGGAATATCTATGAGTGGTTCAAGGACATACATTCACAAATATTTATAATTTTGTTCATTCATTGGAAGCTTTGAGGACTGTCTTCACATTCTCTCTAGAGAAACAAGTCAAGGGAACTCCTAGAGCTGAATCCAAGGTCTGAGAGAACCTGAGGCAGAAGCAGCACACGTAGCTCCCGAGACTCTCAGGTCTCTCCTTGCCTCCACAGCTTCTGGGGCTATGATCTTTAGTTCTCCCTTATCTTCAACTTCTTGGCTTTCTCCTCCATTAAAGATAATAAAAATAGGGAGGTGCCTGCGGCTCAGTGATTAGGGCACTGGCCCCATATACCGATGGTGCCAGCTTCAAATCCAGCCCCAGCCAAACTGCAACAAAAGAATAGCCAGGGGTTGTGGCGGGCACCTGTAGTCCCAGCTACTCGGGAGGCTGAGGTAAGAGAATTGCCTAAGCCCAAGAGCTGGAGGTTGCTGTGAGCTGTGACACCACAGTACTCTAAGGGTGACAAAGTGAGACTCTGTCTCAAAAAAATAAAAAGATAATAAAAATAATAATGTGTTTTTCATCTGTGTGCCTGAGCTGGGTTCTGAGGCAGGAACTAAACTTTCACTGTGACAACCCTGGGCCTGAATCAGGTTGCCACTGAGGAAAAGCCCAGCTGGGCCACCCCTCCCTGCCAGAGAGGAACCACAGAACCATTTTGTATTTTTTTCCTATTATTTTATTTATTTATGTGTTTATTTATTTATCTAAAGACAGAGTCTCACTTTGTTACCAGGGCTAGAGTGCCATGGCATTGCCTAGCTTACAGCAATCTCAGATTCCTGGATTCAAGGGTTCCGCCCCCTGCCTCCCTAGGAGCTGGGACTACAGGAACATGCCTGGCTAATTTTTCTATTTTTAATAGAAATAGAGACTTGCTCCTGCTGCTGGGGGTGGTCTCAAACTCCTGTGCTCAAGTGATTCTCTAGCCTTGGCCTCCCTGAGCGCTAGGATTATAGGTGTGAGCCAGCTTGCCCAATCCCAATGTCTGCATTTTTTTAAAATGCCTACTTTGAAGACACCCTTTATAAGGGTGTCTTTATAAGAGACATTTATAAGAGACATTACATTTATAAGAGACATTACATTTTTGAGAGTGTCTGTGACTAAGGAAAATGTCGTGTTTCCACTTCTGTAAATTGACAACCAAGGGACTATAACTAACTCGTCAACATACAGAGTTGTTCAACATAGGAAACTAGGTCTGCTCTACTGATACGTACATGTGGTACATGTCCACTTTATGAAAATTAGGTCAACCTAAGAGGTGGTCAATGTAAGGAGGTGGTCAGCTATGAAGGCTCTATTGCAGGCGTCCTCAAACTACAGCCCTCGGGCCACATACGGCCTGCCTAGGACATTTATCCTGCCCGCCAGGTGTTTTTGCTGCTACTGCCTGTCCTGCTTAGCAGCTGACTCATCCCGGGGCCCACAGTCTGACCCTCCAACAGTCTGAGGGACAGTGAACTGGCCCCCTGTTTAAAAAGGTTGGGGATCTCTGCTCTACTGTATTTTGATAATTCCACAACTCCAAAGGCCATGCAAATGTTTCACAGGCCCTAAGCATACTCCAAATTCACCCAGGCCCGTGGCTGTATTTCAGGAGGCCCAACATCACCTGCAGTAAAAGATTGAACATGTCAAATAAAATCCTAGACTGAATTATTAACATTGCAGCCAGAAAGAGGAGCACCAAGGATCTTAAACTCTAATCCTGGGTTTCCTGCATGAGGCTATGTCAAGTCAGCTCACTGGAGCTGAGAACTTCATGTGCCTCCTTTGTGAAATGAGTGGGCTTGTTCCCGCCAGTTGGTTTGTCCAAGTCACAGCACTCTTAATTCCTTCAGAAGTAGTCCTAAAAAGAAAAGGCATTTGAGGAATGGTCTAGGGTACCCCACGAGCCCCCAACACAGAGAAAAAGGGGTGAAGGAAGGGGATATCTTCCTTGTCCCCTCCCCCCTACTTCTTGAGGCTAATGGCCCTTTATTAGATTAAACACTGACTTCAATTTTAACTACTTCCTCAACCCACTCCAAGTAAATGACTAATTTCATGTTTACTAGAAAGCATCTGGAAAAAATTTAGAAACAAATTTCTGCCCAGCAGATTTCAGTTCCTTCCACTGCCCCCTTGCCCACCGAGAAGCAGGAGAAAATGTCCCATATGATTGATCTTTATCAGCATCAGCAGTTTCTGTCTTCGTTCCTTTCCATTAACTCCCCACTGAGTCACCCCTTCCCTCCCTTCTGGGGGTCTGACCATATTAGGAGTTCAGTCACATAAGATACTTTTACTTTTTTATCACAGTGCCAGCTGGGGGATGGGGGTGGGGGATGGAGGTAGTCCCAAAGGTGGAAAGATTTTGGTATTGCCAACCTTAATGAGAAGTCTCAGACCTAGATTTGGAAAACAATTTCTGAACGTGACGGCAGGAGAGAACGCCAGCCCAGGCTTTGCAGACGTGCCTGGGTTGGAGGAGCCACCAGGTCCCCAAGGCTGCTCGCGGGCGCCTCCTGCTGGCGGGACTGGAAAAGCTCGGCTATGTTCGAGCGGCTTCGGGAGCTGGCGAGCTGGGCGCCCCGCGCCCCCTCGGGGTGCGTGGCAAGGACGCAAACGGTGGGAAGGGCGCCCGAGGAACCCTCCACACCGGACCCCCAGGGTCAGAGTCCCGCGCGGGGACTCCTTCCAAACGAAATGACAGTAGCAACCGACACCAGCAACTTCCATTTGGAAAAGGGGGTGAAGTCGGGGAGAAAGAGTGGGAAGAAAACTACAAGGGGAAATGTGGAGATGAAAAGAGCAATGAAAAAAGAAAAAGGAAGACAAGCAGACATATTTCAACTCCAAGCTCCCATTTCCTCTTTCAAATGAACTGCTTCCCCACTGTGAACAGAATCAAGTATTTATGAAGGCATTTTTTGCATATTAATAGCTGCATATGGAGCGTTGCCAGTTCTGAAGTCCTAAAGGTACGGTGCCCTTTTTTAATGCAGGTCTTTCAAACTCCTCACAGAATTTGGTATTCTCCTTCAGATTTATTTTCCTTCCTGCCTCGTGGCTCCTCCTAAGGCCCTTCATTTGATTAAGGGAAATTAGTTTCTGGGATACCTTCAGAGACCAAGAATTGCTCTTCCCTTGGTAAGTCGCTAACATCAATCGCTGGAGAAGGTTTTCCTCTCCCCCAGGGCTTCTCCGTGTAGGGGCCGCAGGTTGGGTGAGTGACCAGTACCTAAAAAAAATTATTAAAATTATAATGAAAGTTCCAGGAGAAGATATACAGTGGTGGGAGAAAGTAAAACTTCTCAAAAGGTAAAATAACTTTATTAACTTTAACATTACTATCCGTACTTAGGTAAAAATTACCTCCAATTTTAAAAGAAAAACATTGAGAACCAGTTAGAAAATAAGCAAAAGATGAACAATTCATGTCAAAAAAAAAGTAGTATGGAAAACAAATATGAGGTTGGAAGCAGTAACTCAAGCCTGTAATCCCAGGGCTTTGGGAGCCCAAGGTGGGAGGACTGCTTGAGGCCAGTTGTTTGAGACCAGAATGAACAACATAGTCAGGCCCCATCGCTACAAAAAAAACTTTTTTAATTGGCCAAGTGTGGTGCCACATGTCTGTAGTCCCAGCTACTCAGGAGGCTGAGGTGGGAGAATTGCTTGAGCCCAGGAGTTGAGGATACTGTGAGCTGTAATATGCCACTGCACTCCAACCTGTGAACGCGAGGGAGACCCCATCTCTTAAAATAAGTGGGAAAGGGATAGAAGGAGTATGGAAAAGGGAAGGGAAGGGATATGGAAAAGGGAAAGGAGGGTAGGGGAGGAAAAGGATTTCAAAAAAAGAAAAAGGAAAGGAATATGGAAAAAGAAAAGAAAAGGAAAAATATTCATCTGGAATAGCAATTAAACATGTACTGAGGCAAACTGGAGGTACCATTTTATATTTGAAATTTGTGCCTCCTCTCATTCTTTTTAATGGTAACATCCAGTGTTGCTGAAGCTTTGGTAAAACTGGTACACTTAGACACTTCTAGTGGATTGTAATTTGGTTCAATCTATTGTAAAGCAAATGAAACATGAAAAAGTACTCATACCCATTGATTCAGTATTTCTAACTTCTGGGAATTTCTCCTAAGGAAACAATTCAACAGAATAAAAGTCAGTGAGGTTGTCCATTGCAGTGTAATCTACATATAATAAGGAAAAATTAGAAATAGACTAAGAGTCTACCATCAGAAAATCCAGAAAAATAACTAAATTATGATAGATCCCTCCCAATGAGGGGTTTAATTCAGGCATTAAAAAAGGATTGCTCATACTGCAAACTGTGATTTAATATTAATGGCTTAACACAGGGTTTCTCAACCTTAACCACTTTGACATAACACCAGAAATTCTTTGTTATGGGGAGATATCCTGTTCCTTGGAGAATGTTGTACAGTATCCCTGGCTATTACCCACTAGATCCCAGTAGTATAATACCTCAGTTGTGACGATCAAAAATGTTTCCAGATCTTGATAAATGTCCCCTGAGGAGTAAAATCAACCCCAGTTGA